TGCCTTGAAGCTCCTACACTAAAATACTCACACTACAGATGGGCTAGGCAGATGGACCCACAGGCTACGTGGATCCTCCTCCTCCGCTCCCTCTTTTGGCAGTTCAAGGCCCTGGTCAAAAACAATGAAGAAACTAGTTTGTTTTCAAAAACAATTAAGCAAGTTTCTAGGTCTCATGGTGGCAAAGATACGTAAATTCAAACATGGCGCGGTCAGCATTTCTGGTGCTTTTTGCTGCATTGGACCATTTCACTGGATATCTTCATTCCAGTTTGAGGTGCTAGTGGTGACTGCTTCATTTTCTCACGGTCTGGGATTCCATTTTCCCAGCAAATCTAAACAAAGGATTCTGGAAATATTGTGAGGAAAGATTCTGGTTTGGGATGTGCCAAGCATTTCTTATGCTTCAATCTTATGGAGGAAATCCAGTTGCATTTACTATAGCAAGAGGGCTAGGAGACATCATATAATTCTATGTTTACTCCCAGTTAAGTCCCACTGAGTTCAGTGATTCTCACTCTTGGATGGTACCTTGGTTACAGAATACCTTCCCCTCTTAGGTCAGCCTGGCATCAAGGAAGCATTTTTACATCAAAGCCAGTGCTGGTTATTTCTTATTTTGAGGGTGTTATTTTGTAATTATTGCATTAAATATGTTACATGCCCTTCCTCCAAAATGTAGTGGCATAGGGCATGTGATAAATATTTCTAGATAAATAAAGTGTGCAAACGCATTTACCAGGAAGCAAGCCCCATTGAACTTAGTAGATTTTACTTCTGTTGAAACATGCATAGGATTACACTGTGAGCTGAGAAATCAAGAAGTCCCCATTTCAAACCTTGCCTTTGCCTTCCACTCAATAGGTTGCCTTTGTCAACCTCCTCACTTCTGCTTCAGTCACTACTGCATCCTTTCTGATCCATAACATGGGGATAATAATACCAGCTACCTTGTGCAGTGAGAGCTGGACCATAAAGAAGGCTGATCACCGAAGAATTGATGCTTTTGAATTATGGTGCTGGAGGAGACTCTTGAGAGTCCCATGGACTGCAAGAAGATCAAGCGCGTCCATTCTGAAGGAAATCAGCCCTGAGTGCTCACTGGAAGGACAGATCCTGAAGCTGAGGCTCCAATACTTTGGCCACCTCATGAGAAGAGAAGACTCCCTGGAAAAGACCCTGATGTTGAGAAAGATTGAGGGCACAAGGAGAAGGGGATGACAGAGGATGAGATGGTGGGACAGTGTTCTCGAAGCTACAAACATGAGCCTGACCAAACTGCGGAAGGCAGTGGAAGACAGGAGTGCCTGGCGTGCTCTGGTCCATGGGGTCATGAAGAGTTGGACACGACCAAACGACTAAACAACAACAACCTTGTGCAGATGACTGAGCTAATGATTTCCAAGTGCTTGCAATATTCTATGGCACCATTTAAATTCTGAGTATTATCATGGAAGGTGTATAGGTCTGTCTAGCCCTAAGTGATTTTGCTTGAAAGTAAGTCCCCTTGAAACCAACAGTACTTATTCTCAAATTAACATTGTTAGGATCGGGGTTGGGTGAGCAAAGCCTACTCTTGTTTAGGGAACATTGAGTTTTATTAAGGGCACATATGCACAACTTTCCATGTGATAATTATACCAGCATAACAGTCATAGCTGCCCTCAAAGAATCCTGGGACCTGTAACTGTTGCTTGGGAATTGCCGACTTATAGCAGCTTCCAGGATTCCAAAGACAGGGAATGAGTATTAAAACCAATTTAGGACAACAGTCCTTTGCTCATTTACTAGGGACTAAGTCACACAGAAGCCAACAGGACTTACTACTGAATAAGCATGCTTAAAGGTAAAGGTAAAGGTACCCCTGCCCGTACGGGCCAGTCTTGCCAGACTCTAGGGTTGTGCGCTCATCTCACTCTATAGGCCGGGAGCCAGTGCTGTCCGCAGACACTTCCGGGTCACGTGGCCAGCATGACATTGCTGCTCTGGCAAGCCAGGGCAGCACACGGAACACCGTTTACCTTCCCGCTAGAAAGCGGTCCCTATTTATCTACTTGCACCCGAAGGTGCTTTCGAACTGCTAGGTTGGCAGGCGCTGGGACCGAACGACAGGAGCGCACCCCGCCGCAGGGATTCGAACCGCCGACCTTTCGATCGGCAAGTCCTAGGTGCTGAGGCTTTAACCCACAGCGCCACCTGCGTCCCTATAAGCATGCTTAGAATTACACTATATGTATTTGCAGTGTATATACTGTATGCCCATATAAGGCCATTCAAGAAAAGATTGAACAGGCAGGTCTAGGGGCTAACACCTGGGATAAGGTGAACTGGACTTTTTGTAAACCCTAGGATGTAGAATCTTCCAAGGCTTGGTCCTAACAGCTGTTTTCAATGCCAGAGCTCAGTTGAACATGAACTGAGTGCGGTCAAGATTGTCCCTTGTTGATCTTGGGTCAGCCACTTTCTCTCAGCCTATATGTTATATTCTCCAGAGGATAAAAATGCCATATATACTGCCCTGAGCCCATAGCGGAAGAGTAAGATACGGTCACTGACTGGTTGGAGGCAGAGGAATGGGAGGAGGAACCAGCTGGAAATACCCCAAGAGAAGAAGGCTCAGAACTCGGGAAGTGGTGGTGAGATTATGATAAGTGGTCCAAGGGAGAAAGGGGAGAAGACTGGGAGGAGGAGGAAGTGTCAGAAGCTGAACAGGTAACAGGGCTGAGTGAGAGAGGGGAGTCTCTGACAGAGAGCAGTCCAGAATCAGAAACAGAAGCTGAAGCAGGAGAGAAAGGAGGCCAAGAGGCAGAGATGAGTCCAGCTGGTGAAGAGGCACGTGTGTTTCATTCTCCTGCTACAAGCCCCCTTTCCCCCAGAACCAGAAGAGGCATGAAAGGGGCAGGGGAAAAGTTAGCTTCGTGCAGGCGCAGTCTCAAGTTGCTTGGAGAAAACCCTGGAGAGGAGGGGATTTAGGCAGCTGTGGGGAGGCAGGGACCTTCAGTCTCAGCAACTGCTTCATGGGGACAAGACCTGCCAGAGATGAGTTGCTGGGCTTATTAGGCCTGGCACTGCTGCACAGATCCTGTGTTTGCTAAATAGTTTTATTACACTTTGCCCAGTGTAATTTACTGCTGGCTCACTCCTGTCAGATACACGTGTAATTAAATAATAGTGTGGGGGTTGTGGGGGGGGGACTTCCAGACTGAACAGAACTACTTCCACCACACCAGCATATTAAAGACTGGCCACAGTAAGGGAACCCAGGAGGTGGTAAATTTAAGCATGATGAGATATACAGGTAGGATCCCTCTCTTCGAAGGTTGCATGTGTGTTGGCTGACAACACAAAGATGTAAGGAACTTGCTGTTGAATGTGGTATCCAGAAGGAGGAGGAGGATTTGGGCAGTGGAGCTCTACCATTACAGCAAATAGGGGACTGCCTCACCAACCTCCACTTGCCTCCAAACAACCCCTACCTGCCTGCCTTCTTACTTACAAACCTAGTTGTCAGCTTTCCCCTTCTCTTCAGCCTCAGTCTTGCCCTTGTAGAACTCAGCAGGAAGGAGGATGGGGGAGAAACTAAAACTAGTGATGCCTCTGCCTGTCACCTACTGTTGGCCTCTCTGCACTTTGCCCCACCAGTCCCAAGGGCCAACCACTGCTGAGTGGGGGGCCATCAATATTAAAAAGCATAGTGCTGCCAAACAGAGGGTCTTTCTATTAAAGGAGAAGCTCAGACAGGTGGACACATCCAAGCACATTACAGAAGCCTGGACCAGAGACAAAAATGACATCCTATTAGCCCAAAACAGGCAATGCAAGCAAATGCTACAACTCCTGATGGAGCAGACAAAGAAAGGCATTATGTTCCCAACAGTCAGTCAGCCAAATGCCTGATGAACAAGGCACGAAAACAACACCCTCCCTCTTGTTGCTTGTACCCAGCACCTGAGATATTCAGAGGGGAAATGCCTCAGGACATGGAACAGGCCTCTGAACATACTGCAGAGGGCGTGTGGACATTGGAGTCAATGTTCACATGCCCTGAAGGGGAAGTTTCCCAAAAGACGAACAGGGTATGTGTGCTTGTTATAACCATTGTCAGTTTCTGCTATTAATATCACCCACTTTCTCTAGCACACAAGACACAAAACTGCCCAGGTATTAACATAATCCTCAGAAGCTCTGACCTGGGTCCCCCACAGTTGAAGAGATGCACAGGTCTTGGCTGGCACCAAATTTGATCTCTGTTTGGGGCCAGGTTAAAAGGCCTTTAGAGCTGCCAGTTTTGTGTGGCAACGGCATCTTCCTCTGCTGTTTTTGTTTTTTTAATGCATTGTTGTTATTTTTCATAGTTCTTTCTGTTTTCATTGTTATATGATGTTTGATCTTTCTGTAAGCTGCTCTGCACAGAAGAGGAGGCTATGAAGCACTCAAACGCATAATGCATACATGCTGTGCTAAGTTACAGGTCTTCTTTCTCCCCATTCCTGAAAACTTTCTTCCTACTGCTTCCTGGACTCTATCTAGCATCCCAGCTCTAGGCACTCTCATCCAGCCTTTCCAGCCTAGTGTCCTGCAGATATTTTGGAGAACAACTTCTGGGCAGCTGGTGAGTGTTGTAGTAGTCTCAAAACGTCTGGAGGGCATGAGGTCAGGGAAGATAGCCGGCAGGCATCCCATTGATTTAAAACAGAACTTTATTCCTAGGAGTGAACTCAGATTCTGGGTTGAAGAGACCTGCTGTTCACAACTAGGTGTGTGTATGGCGGGGGGGGGCGGGGATAGCCCCTGAGAAAAGGGATTAGGAGCAAATTTCAAGTAGAAATAACGCCATATGGGATGCATTGCCCAAGGCAGCAGGCTATCCCTCTCTGCCACTACTTCCTGGGGGTCCTGCTCGCCAGATCCACACACCGCCTCCCTAAAGCATGATTCAAGAACAGGGTCCCCTTCCCCCTGGGAGTCCTTGGCTTCCTCTGCCGAGTTGTGAAACTGACCTGCTCCCTCCACGCAACTTGCACCGAGTGTCTCTGCAAAGCCAGCGGCTCCTGCTCCAGACTGTGACCCGGACTCGGCTCAGGAGCGTCGACCGAAGCCTTTGCTCGCCTCTTTCCCCATCTTTACTGCGCCCAAGCCGGAGAAGCTGAACCGGCTGCCAGGCTTCTAACACAGGAGGCCAATCCTGGGTGTGTTTCCTCCTTCTCCTTCCTGGTTCTCGGATGCGAATTGAGATTGGGGCGAGAAGGCGGCCGGGAGGGGGGCGGTGAGGCTGAAGGTCTGCTAAGGAGAGTGGTTCCTTGGCAACAGCAAGTCTGCCCTCGCATGCTAATTGCGCCGGGCTCCGGCCGTTGCTGTCGTCGCGGGGTGCGGGGAGAGGCGGGGGGCGGCGGGGGGAGAGAGAGAGCCGAGGAAAGGGGAGGATGTTTCCAAGCTCTGGAGGGAAAACAACCCTGAAACTGCTGGAAGGCTGCGGCGCCAAGCAACCCCCGGGAAGCCAGCGGAGCGATCATCCGCCTCGACACCTCGGCCGTGATTTCCACGCCAAGGAAGCCAAGGCGCCAGGCTCGCCCTTTCCTGAAGGCAGCATGCGAGCGGAGCCTGCCTTGCCTCAACGCACCTCCCCCCCCCCGCACATGCACACACCCCTCTCTACCCCCTCCGGGGGGGGGACAGGCTCATGCTCCCTGCTGCCCTTCTTCCAGAAAACAAACACGCTATAACGATTAAGCGATCTCTTCCGCTGCAGCCCCCGCCCCCCGCCTCACCCAATCTCTTCTCCAGGGACGATCCAGGCACCTGCATCCCCCCATACTCCGGCTGGTTCTGGCACATCGGAGGTGCAACCACACACTCCCTCCCCATTCCCCCCTGCCGCCGCCGCCGCCGCAAGGTAGAAGCAATCTTACCGATGGTGGTTTTGGAGCCAATACAGCCCATAATCGTCGGGGGCAATTTAGGATGGCAGTAAACCTTTGCTCCAGACCGCACACATTGCCACAGTACCTCATGGGCTGTGAGCTGGTAGGCGGGCGGTGGGCTGGAGAAGCGACTTCTCTCTTTTTTTCCCCCCGTTGGCTGGTGGGGTTGATCTGGCAACACAGAGAAGAGGGGAGATTAGGGGGAGGGAGGAAGCGCGCGCGCATACAGACACACACACACACACGATCTCCAGGAACCGCTCTGGCTCTCTCTGTCTCCTCCTCCTCCTCCTCCTCAGTTTCTGCCCCTCGAGAAGCTGGCGTCTCAGGGACACTGGGGCTGAGCCGCTTGCACGTTCGACTACGTCACTGCTGCTGGCGGAGAATTGAGAGCGAGCGAGCGAGCTGCTAGCAGACAGGCAGCTGGCTTCAGCACCAAGAACAGCGCTCTGGCTTCAGCACCCTGGACAGCAGCAAAGCTGGCTTCTAGGCGGGCGCCGCCGATTTCAGCACCTTGGCCAGCGCCGCCAGAACTAGAACCTGGAACCAAGGGTCTGTTGAATTGCTGGGCGGGCCGAAGAAGCTAACCGATTTTGCTTAGGTGGCGGATCAATGGCTTGCTGTGCCAGGTTTGCCATCTATAATTTGCAGGTGCTAATGCTCCTGGGTCCTGCACGTAGGTTGGGGAGACTTAAATCCCTGCTCTCACATCACCTACGCCAGCTCTCCCATCCCCACCCAAATTTCACAAGCAAGATGGGTTCGTGATGCCTGAAAGAGAAGATGCAACAGGCATGGCAACCCCTCTCTCCTGCTACTGGTCATGCACAAGCACACACACAAGGCAAGACCCCTTCTCCCAACCTTATGGCAAGTATCCTTTTCTGCTGGAAACGCTTCCGTCCCCCTCTCATGTGGCCATGGGGCTCCTTCTGTAATCTTCGTTCCCAATAATATGTGATGTGGTTGCTGCTCAGCCAAAGGGCATTGTGGACATTGTATGGAATGGTGCAAAGCATCTGTTCTAAGGAGGCTGTTTACTATATACAGCAATGACGCCAGTTGGCAGCCTCTGGTTCAAAGACACATCTCTCCATTCACACTAACACAGCACATGGTACCCCAAAAAGGAAAGGTGTCATGGAATGCCCAAAGCTTCAACTCATCAACATCTATTGGGGGGATGACACTTTGCAAGAAGTCATGTGTTTGAGCACCCTTGGCAAAATATTTTAAAAGTCCCGTACTAGATTTCTTAAGCCTCATGGCCTGACAGTTTTTTCTCCTTCTGAATGCTGCTGTGGTGGTGCCAAATTGTATATTCTCCTTCACCAAGCCACTGTAGTCTAGTGTCTCCCAGTTCTGCCAGCCCCTCATAAGGCTCAGGGTACATTACTTCATAAGACAGCATGTATGATGGTCATTGATACAAGGGAGATAGAACTAAAATTTCATTTCCTTCTAGCCTCATGAGGCAGGCAGTAGCTGATGAGGCTGTGCAATCATACACCAAAAACAGAAGGGAGCTGCCCTTAAGCACCAGGCTTTGGCATTAGCATTGCAACTCCACTTCATGGAAAGGTGTAGCTCAGTGATCGAATACAGCCATTGCATACAGAAGATCTCAGGTAGTGGTAGCTGGTGCTCATTGGTACTGGTGGGACAGAAAGAAGAGAGATAAGCTGTAAGTGGAGCCAGAGCCAATGACAGGCAAAGGCAGCTGTTTTAAGTTTTGTCCCCATCTTCCTCTCTGCTGAGTTCTAGAAGGGAAACATTGAGGCTAAGGAGGAGGGCGGTGACAGCCAGAGCCACCACTTTGGACTGATTGAGAACCATAAGATGGGCAGGTGAAAGTTGGTTGATGGCAGACTCAGGTTTGTGGCCATTAGTGCCCCATTTGCTCAAATGGACCAGCCTCCACTGATCCCTAGGTCACTTCCTGACACTGCCAAGTAGGGCTGGGAAAGACTGGGAACTCTCTGGGTCCTGAAGCCACTGCCTGAGCTAGAACAATCAATGGTCTGACTCTGTACAAGTCAGCCTTCTATGCTCCTGCGGTTGAAGTGGCATCAGGGGTGGCCTTCCAGCATATTACACAATGCATTGTAATGTGGAATGTATCATATTCCCAAGAAGCCAAAGTTTTCACTATTTATTTAAAGAACAACTTCTTAGAACTCCCAATTGGGCGATATTTAAAATGCAGTCAAACCAACAATTCGTGTTTTGCTAGATAGGGACATTATAGGAGCTGAAGCTCACAGAGTTTTCCTGCAAACTTTCTAGAGAGAACTCTATGAGAGACACTCCCATTGTGCCTGCTAAATACAGGCAGCTAAAATATCTGAGACTGAAAGAGAATGCAGGCTGGGGGCTCCCACCTAATGGACCCCACCTGAGAGCCAAGAAGATTGCTGGCAAAGCCATAACATTATGTCGACGGCCAGGACCCTCAATGAATTATGGTAGCCTCTGAGGAAGACAAAATGCAACCCCACCACTGCTTGCATACATTGTTAGTTCTTTATGAGATTTCTCTCATGTTCATGAATAAGTCTGTGTGTATGAAACAGGTGTGAGATTGCTCAAACCCCTGTTGAGTCAAGTAGAAACAAATTGGATCGATAACATTTCTGGGATTTTTCCTTTGATGGAACAGCAGTGGAGCGTAGATCAATAAAGCATTTGGATTAATTCTTCAGTACACCTACAGTATCTTTTCAAGCTGGTGTACAAGCCACATACTAATATGGAGACAGAATTGATTGCCAATAGAACATGGAATTAGTAGAAATCATAAACTGGATGTTATTGGAAGAAACCACAATATTTGGTTTGGTTTTCACAGTGATTATAGACCAAGGGTCAGCAAACTTTTTAGCAGGGGGCCGGGTCCACTGTCCCTCAGATCTTGTGGGGGGCTGGACTATATTTTGAAGGGGGAGAAATGAACGAATTCCTATGCCCCACAAATAACCCAGAGATGCATTTTAAATAAAAGCACACATTCTACTCATGTAAAAACACACTGATTCCCAGACCGTTCGCGGGCCAGATTTAGAAGGCGATTGGGCCGGATCCGGCCCCTGGGCCTTAGTTTGCCTACCCATGTTATAGACTGTATATTTGTTGGATTCTTTGCTTATATGACTTTTAAAAATAAATATTTGTATTGTAATATGCAAGTAACAGGTTTCCCTGTTCAGACATTTCTATTGTCATACAACTGCATACTCCTCGCACCTCTGTGGTTCTGGCTTTTTGCTGTATTCATGGCTAATTATGGCAATCTGACTCATTGTCATGGCTAACTAGGCCCTAACTGAAGAATTTGTGATACATTTGTGTAGTGATGCTTAATTACAACTTTTACCCACTAGTTCTATGTCTTTCTTGTCAGGCTTTTATTAACACAGCTTGTTGTTGGTTTTGGTTTTTATTTTAACCAAATTCATAAATTGCCCTTCATTACAGAATAATCCAACAGTATTTAAACCACAACATGCTGAACAAAACATAAATGCTTAAAATACTTCTAGACCACTCTTCATGTGCAGAGACACCATGATATTACCTGAGTAAAATGCGGTAATAATGGGGTTAAGCACAATTAGCCGTGTGCTAGATTATGGCTTTCCTGTTTATTTTCAATGTATTTGCTCTTGCAATTAGCTGATTCCTAATAAATACATTTTATTAAAATACTGCTAGTTTTGCAAGGAAATTCAATAGGTTTTGCTCAGCTCTTGCCGAATTTTTAATTCCTGCCATGTTAGAGGTAGAACAGAGAACATAAAAGTATATCTCTGACTCAAATGAGAATATGTCTTTCCTCATGTAGCTGGATTGTCTCTTTTCAGTCTAGGAATTTCTTGAATCAGTGACAGCTACCTTGCAGCCTAGCTCTTATAGCAAGAACAAAATCCAAATTATTAGAAAACTACAAGAATGGAATGATAAATGCATAAATACTCTCACACATTCCTCTTATTTTAATATTTGTTTGTGAGCACCAAGTTTGGATTTCATAGACTCACAGAATGATAGAGTTGGAAGGTACCCGAGGGTCATCTAGTCCAACCCCCTGCAATGCAGGAATCTCAACTAAAGCATCCATGACAGAATCATATAGAATCTATGGATTTTTTCCTCTCTATACAGGCTTTGCTTTCATACACAGAGGGTGGGGACAAGTGAGCTGTTGGTGTTGGTGTTGACCTTTAAAGCCCTAAACGGCCTTGGCCCAGTATACCTGAAGGAGCATCTCCACCCCCATCGTTCTTCCTGGACGCTGAGGTCCATTGCCGAGGGCCTTCTGGCAGTTCCCTCACTGCCTGAAGCAAAGCTACAGGGAGCCAGGCAGAGGGCCTTCTCGGTAGTGGCGCCCTCCCTGTGGAACGGCCTCCCGTCAGATGTCAAAGAGATA